CCCGCAAGGGAAGTGGGGGTGAACTGGGGGGGGGGGAGCCAGGGGTGGCTGTGGGGTCTGATGGGGAGCCCTGTCAGTTTTTATGGATTTTGCCATTCGCAGAGATCTCCAGAACAGATCCCCCACGAATGGTGACAGTCTCCTGTACCATCACACTGAGACACTACAATCAGCAACACGGTGACTGCCAGGACCCCATTCTAGGTCAGTCTTCATTAGGGAATGATACTCTCATGGCATCATCCCATTCAAGGCCTGCAAGGTCAGTAGCTGCCAGGACCCCATTCCTGGGCAGCCCGCACTAGGGGAGGATACAATCATGGCATCCTCCCACTCAAGGGCTGTGTGGCCAACACAGCCAGCAAGACACATAGCTGGAGTTCAAGGACACAGCTATGCTGAACCCAGAAGAAGTTGCAACAGCAACTAAAACATGCCAGGCTCTCAGTCCTGGCCCAGAGTGTGCCAGCAAAACTGCCAAGCCCTAACCTTGGCCCATTTGTTGCAGGGATTAATGCCCCCCACACGGCATCATCCCACTCAAAACCCAGAAGACAAAAGGGGAAAGGAGAGGGAGAGAACAGGGGTCTTAAGCCCTGAGACAGACTTTCTCTCCCTGTACCTGAGGCTTTCCCTTCACATAGCCTCAGTTTTCTTCCTCAGTGAAGAACAGGGCTGAACCCACTCACCCCTTCTGCCATAGGAAGCAGGCCCCTCTGGCTCCCAAATTAGTGTTCAGGATTTGGAAGCCCCAGGAGGAAGAAAGAGAGAGGCTCAGATCAGGTGGCCTCAACCTAAAATAGTTTTTCTGACCTCATCCTTGGTCCCAGTCACAAAGTAGTCTCATTGGGACACTGCAAACACAGACCGATCAATTCAAAGGTGGTCGGCAACCCCTGTTGAAGGGGCCAGAGTCACCAAACTGGTTCCACTGGTTCGGTTGAGGAAATCTTAAGACAAAGGGTCTAGACACAATAAGGGGAGGGGGGGAGCAATGGGAGAGCAAGCCTCTCCAGGACTAGAGGAAACAAATTATACAACACAAACACAATATATAGCAAAATAAAACCAGAAGACACTTGACCACACACAGCCCAAGTGTGTGTGGGTGTTACAGTAATATCAGACTTAACTGATTTGGGTCAAACTGGTTTATGAAACTTCTGTCCCAGACTCCTTCCTTCTTCAAGTTAAATCCCAGCATACTTTCTAGCTCTGGGCTGGGCTGGGCTGTCTGTTCCAGAGAGCAGGGCTGGCCCCACCCTTCTGCTCCCTAACTGGAGCAGTGAAGGCTGGCTGACAAGAGGGCAAGGGAAGGGGGGAAAGCAGGGTGAGCAAGCCCAGCTGGGGATGCAGCCCAGTCTATGGGGCGGGGGGAGGGACTGCCCCCACCAGGTAAACCCCAGCTGGGGTCTGGAGCCAGAGAGGGGGGTTAAACACCCCTTCCCCCCACTCAAACTTACTGTTGGCTGCAGCTGTGGACCACAAATCCCAAAGGAACATGGAAGCAGGAAAAGTGATGAGCAACCCTGCAAATTCCTGCTGTTGTGATTGTGGACCACAAATCTCAGAGGCCTTGGAGGCAGCAGAAAGAGGAAGTGAACACACAGCCAGAGCCATACTCTAGTACATCCCCCAGCTTCTGGCCTGAACCACTGCAGACATGTGGTTGAATTTCCTGAATCAAAGGTAAATGGTCTCTTCACTTCTGTTTCAGTTTAATCTGTGTAGCTTAGACTAACCTGCAAAGACTGAATTGATTTAGCCTCATGCTTTTTGACTGTCTGTACTTAGCCACTGAAAGCAGTTTAAGTGCACTGAACTTCTGTTGTGTTACAGATTTGAACCAGTTTCTGATCACTTAATCCAGTTTGTGTGTAACTTCTGTCCCTAGCCTTAAGGTCTGATTTTTCTGACCTTACCATCATTTTGTACACAATGGCCATTACCTTCACAGCTTTCCAGCACTATTACTAGTAGGTGCAGATAAACAGTCCATGTTCTGCATATGAAAGTTCTGTTTATCCAAATGGACTTCAGAGGTGCAGGTTATGTTTTTGTGGGCAGAAATATTAGTGCTAGGAAGGAGGATACAAAAGGATGCCTACTCTTAAGTGAAGGCTGAGATAGAAATCTTATCAGGGAAAT